TAAACCCCTGCTTAACCCTGTAGCTGCCTATATTTTTCTAGTAAAATGCCCTTGGCTCCTAAAAGTGTGCTTCTGCCCAGGCTGAGAATCACTATACCTTGGAGTCTATCCCATAACAAGGACCCATTAGGATTCAGACACTAGGGGTTGCTTGCAGCGGCTCAAATAGGAGTGGCACAAATGTGAGCTGGGGATTTTTGCCTCAGCACATGTGCATGGACATGCACTTTGATGTGGGGCAAGTTGTGCCACTTGTGACAAAATAACCCTGCCCAGCTCCTCCTGAATCTGTAGCCAGGGGGAGCTTGTGGCCCACAGGTGCTGGCCGCAGCACTGTAAAAACCTGCCCTGTGCTGGCCCCAGCAATATAAATACCTGCCTTAGCGAGCAGCTCAGGGCTACTTGCCCTCAGGAGCTTCTGAGGCCCAGCCACTTGGTATCTGGGGACACTACCCCTTGTGCCAGCTGGCCCTGGACAGGCTCCTCTGTACAGGTCTCGCCACTTGTCTCATGAGCAGAGATCCTGGTGTGACCTGTTTATGAATTACAAATACACTGATAAGAAACCCAAATTCTTCCATTAAAATACCCCAAATAGTGTTCTTCCAGTATTAAAATGAAACACCACTACATAGAGAGATCAGTTGTTTTATTGATATGTTTACAAGTGTGAAGCAATTGGGGGGGGCTGGGGGAGTCTGTGGGTGGGTGTAGGGTTTGTAGGGGTGAGGATTGTGGGGGGGTTATGGGGCTTCTGTGGGGGGTTGGGTTTTGTGGCTGGGGATGTGGGGGGGGGGTTTCTGGGGGTGGCTTGGGGATGTGGGTGTTGTGGGAGGGCTGTGTAGGGGGCTGCCCAGGAGGGGTGAAGCCCCCCCCCAAGCACACAAACTATCGCCCCCTGCAGGGCCTACAGCTTCCCCCCACAGGGCACCCCCCTTACATGGCACACATGCACCCCTGCAGGGCCCACTGCTCACCCCCACAGCAGCATCAGCCACAGCCGCAGCCATGGGGCACTCAGGGCCCACCATGGCCAGAGCCCGCCGTAGCATGGCATGGCCCTGATCACCTCAGAGCTGGTGCTGCCTCTGCCACCTGGTGCGGGGCCAGCCTGGCGTGGCATGGGACTGTGCAGCTTCAGACAGCACTGGGGCTACTTGGGCTGTCACCCAGGGCCCAGCCCTGCTTGTGGGGACCGTGTGTTGTGCCAGGCTGGGTCCTGCCTCCATGGAACCATCCCAGCCTGATGGAGCGTGGGGTCTGTGGAGGCATGACCTGGCCTGGCATGACACGTGGTCCCCACAAGTGGGGCTGGATCCCAGGTGACAGCCCAAGTGGCCCCAGCACTGCCTGAAGCCACATGGCCATGTGCCACACCGTGCTGAGTCAGCCAGCACCGTGCCATGGGCGGCTCTGGCCATAATGGGCCCTGAGCAGCCCATGGATGCTGCTGCTGCTGCTGCTGCTGCTGCAGGGGAAGGGGGGCTGGGGCCCTGTGGGGGACCCATGCCCCCTGACCAGCACTCCCACCCCCACACAACCCCCACACATCTACAAATATGCAACGCAGGGAACATTTTTTTCATTCTCAGCATGCCTCTTGTGGCGTTTCAAACTAGTTTGAGATGCTGCAAGAGGCACACTCATACGGAAGTGCCTTAGGAGTCCTTCTGCCTGAATTCTCAGAGAGGTCTAAAAAGATTGAGCTCAGCAGCAAGTACAGCAAGCACAGTAACTTTCACTCAGAGAAAGACAATGAAGGAGACCCCTGTTCTATAATAGCTCAACATTCAGGGCATGTGTTCAGAACATAGGAGATGTCAGTCCTGTGCCCTCCTCAAACTGAAAGCATTCAGTCTCATCTTCCAGCTCTTTGGAGAATGTCTTAACCAGCAGCTACAGGACTCTCTTAGCATGGCCTGGGGACTCTACACCTGCTGCTGACACTGTGCCACTTCTGAGGGAAGAATTCAAGATTCACTGGGCCAGAAAAAGGCAGCGTGACTCTATGGCTCAGTGATTCGGGCACTCTGCTGGGTTCCAATCCCTCTTCTAAGCACTGTGTACACATTTTTGCATCAAAATGTCATCAGATGACATGCGGGGACTTGAAATTAAGCCTCACAAGTCATAAACGAGCACCCTGCCCATTAGGCAGGTCTTTCTCTTCAGTCAAAAGTGTTTATGAGATTTACCTTATTTCATTCATGAAGTGAAAGACAGTGGGGAAAATGTTTTCAGTAATAGTCGTTGTTTGTACTAATACATGAAGAAGAAAGTAGAGAAACAAAACAGTAATGAGCTAATGAAGCGGCTGGGCTGTCTTAGATATTGTTGGAGTGCGCCGAGTGCGTCAAATAAGCTTAGTGTTCTCTCCTTACCTGTATCCATAAAGTCTTTCAAAGTGCTCACTGGCACTGCTGTAAGTCAGGAATAAACATCAGCGAAGCCTATGGAATTACACTGTTGTAAGTAAGAGCACAACCAGTTCCTTACTGGACTTGTCATGAGCAAATGGGACAATTGAGTTCAACCTTCAGAACCAAACTTAATGAAAACGAATTCGCAGACCATGAGGCCAGGAGGGGGCATTCGGATAAGCTAGAGGTCTTGCAGATGAGAATTTTACATCAAGTCTATGATCTATTGCTTTAAAAAGGTGTCCTATAAAAACTGACAGAAATAAAATCAACAGACTTGTATAGAAATGAAATAGTGGACAGTTGAAATAACTCTGCATCTTTAACCTGCTTCTTTCCCAGACCTGAAGAAGGGCACTTGTGTCTGAAAGCTTGCCTAGCATTTCTCACTATACACCTGATCCAATAAAATGTATCCCCCTCCCCCCAAAAAACAACCCAACAACTTGCCTCTTGTACCATCACAGCGGCTACAACAAAACTCCAACACCTTTATAGCTTTAGCAAATTTATTTCCTTTCTAGGATAAAGTGACAGATTTAATATAATCCCAATTGCCATGAAACGCTATAAAGTAGTTTGTAAACCCTATGGAAAAAGATCTAATTTTCTGCTGAACTGTGTGAAACTTTTTCTGTAAGGCATGTAATCTTGTGAGAATGAATGTTAAACAGTGGCTTGTGCCAGGGAAACCAGACCACCAACTGACCTGCTTAATACATGCCAGTAACTGCACGATGCCAAGTGGGCCAGTGGGTTTTCTGCCTGAACTGTTGGCGTCCCAGAGAGAGCAACAAGTTCAACCATAAGACAAAAGAGTATTTCTTCTCTCCTACTTTCCTGTTCCATTTCTGTGTCTGCCCATGAATCTTTGTTGCTGGAAGCAGATTATTAATTGGACCCTGGGGAGCTGTCACTGCTCTTACCAATGGACTTACTTAGCTGGGATGCTAAGTAGTTGAATGTGTTTCTAGTTTTTCTTGAGATTTAATGACTTTTTAAAAGACTTTTTAGGGAGCAATTTTCACTTGACAGAGCAGGCAGTTAGACATTGGGCCCTTGCAATGTGTTAATAAAAAGTCCACAGTCAATTTTTGATTGCTAACACTAGTGTAAATCTAAAATAATTTCTATCACATCTGCGGAGCACAGTTAGACTGGTCAGTACATCTACCATACATTAGAGCAGTGATTCTTAACCTTGTTAGACTCAAGACACCACTCCAAAAATGGCCAGCTCTTAGGTTTTACTCCTTTTTTTTAACATGATAAATTATGGATTCCTATGGATTCCCATTTGAAAATTGTGGACTTGTTTTATGAGTTATGGTTAGGACTAGAGACAGAAGCTACGCATAAACTGGTTTAAATGATCAGAAACTGGTTTTAATCTTTAACAGAACAGAAGTTCAGTGCACACAAACCAGTTACAAAATGGCTGAAATTGGTTTAAGATAAGCCTGGCTGAATGTAGTATCAGACTTAACTGATTTAGGTCAAACTGGTTTATGAAACTTCTGTTCCAGACCCCTTCCTGGTTCAAGTTAAGTTACAGTCCCCCAGCATCTCAGCATTTTGCAACCCTGGGCTGGGCTGTGCTGTCTGCTCCAGAAAGCAGGGCTGGCCCTGCCACTCTGTTCCCTAGCTGGAGCAGTGAGGGCTGGCTTAATGGCCTCACTGGCTGGCTCACTACCCCCTCAGGCAAACCCCTGCTGGGGCCTGGGGCCAGGGTGGAGGATTAAACTTCTTCCCAGGGTGGATTAACCCTTTAATGGGCCCTAGGCAAACACACCTGTGGCCTCCAGGCCAGTCAAGACTCCCCTCCCCACCCTGGCACTGCCACCTGCAGAGAGCAGGGCTCAAAGATGCTGCTAGGGGGCAGCCACCATGGTGGTGAGACCAAGGGAGAGGAAGGGAAGGGAAGGGAGGCAGACAGGGCCATTCCTGCCACTGCAGCTCAGTGCCTTAGGCATGTGCCTATTTTGCTTATGCATTAATCTGGCCCTACTTCCCCTGAGTACAGAGCTGCCCTGCCCTGCATACTTAGTCCTGCCTGTGACTGTGGACTACAAATCCCAGAGGTACCTGGAAGCAAGAAGAGGGGGTGACGAGCAACCCTGCAGAGTCATGCTTCTGTGAGTCTGGACCGCAAATCCCAGAGATCTTGGGGGCAGCAGGAAGAGGAAGTGAACACACAGCCCAGGCTGGCCATGTGCCAGACAGCTGTGCATTAGTGCCCCCAGCTTCTGGCCCCAGCCACTGTAGGCATGTGGCTGCATTTCCTGAATCAAAAGTGAATGTCTGTTCATTTCCTTATTTGGTTCAATCTTTGTAATTTAGACTAATCTGCAAAAACTGAATCAATTCAGCCTTGGGCTTTCTGACTGTACTTAGCCCAGGTGTTTACATACTTAACAGTGGCAAACTTAAAAGGGTCTTATGGCACCCCATGGTTCCATATTACCCAGGTTGAGCATCACTGCATTAGAGCAGGGGTGGGCAAAATGTGGCCTGGGGGCCAGATGTGACCTACCAGGCCATTCTATCGGGCCCACAGGGCCCTAAAAACTTTAGAAAATTAGTATTTATCTGCCCCTGGCTGCCAGTCATGCAGCCCTTGATGGCTTGCCAAAACTCAGTAAGTGGCCCTCCGCCCAAACTAATTGCCCGCTCCTGCATTAGAGTCATCTTAGGGATGCTCTCACATAGTCCTTACTGTTCACTGTCTTCACCTGCCCCCCTCCACCCACCCCTGCCAAGGCCCACTTGTAAATGCTTCAAAGTGACTTGGGGTCATGACCTAAAGTCTGGGAACTGCTGATCTAGCATGTTCTGAGTGCTACCAGAATTCAAAGTAGTAACAATAAGCACAAATATAGGTTTATAGCTCTTCTGATGCCATTGACCAGTAAACTGCAACTAACATGAGAGGGATGAAATCCTAGCCCTGTTGAAGTTCATACGAGTTTTGTCACTGGCATTAGTAGGGCTAGGATTTTAACCAATATCTGCACTAAGGGCTTCCCTTAGTGAATAAGAAAAGCCCAAAAGGAAGAGACCTGGCACCAGATGTTATGATTCAGATATTAAGTATGTAAGCATGCATTTCTTCAGAAGACTTGTGCTTTAGGGAATGTCTGTGTCTAGATTTAAATCCATGTGAAATTATGCAGCTAGGCAACGTGCATTCGTTGATAGGAGCAAGAACCTCCCAGTTAGTTTTTTTTTTCCACAAGCAGTTAAATCAGGAAGTCAAATGGGGTTATCAGTTGCTGTAGCAATGTTATGACTAACAACAGAGTAGCTGCTTCAGAGTATATGGGGTTAGAGGGGCAAGGGACAAGAGAGGGCATGAGAAGAACATTATTAAAACTGCAATAGCCTTTGCTGAAAATGTTGATGTAAACCCGATAGCCAGTGAAAGTGGCTGGTGCCATTTGATACCCCACTACTCAGCTTGTGACTGTAAGCATCTTTCATCTGGTAAGCATCTTTGCCATGTCCAAGCTTATGTTATATTCTTTAAAGGGATACTTCACTTAATTATGGAAATAGAACTGAACAGGGCATTTTCACACCAGCCCCTGGAGATTCTAATTGCCTTTATTCCTTGACAGTGTTCATTAAACACTTCACCGTCATCAGTTTTGTCTACAAGGAAGCCAGTTGATGCTGATTGTTAAACAATATGTTATTTTTAAGGCAATGTGGATGCATAGGCTCAAGAGTTAAGGAATTTTCCTATGGTTCCCAACATATGAGTGTAGGCCCTGCTTTGGATATACACCAAAAGCTGGGCCTGGCTGATGCACTTGTAAAGAGATGCTGGGAGGAGAGAGGCAGGTGGGAAGATCAGGCTGGGATGTCAAAGGCAAAGAGATATAAATGTTACCTACATCCTACTTTACTCCCTTGGGTGCAATTGGCTTTGATCATGCTTTGTCTTAAGCCAGGCTGTGCTGTCCTGATGGGTCTTCTAGGCTCAGGCAGAGCACAACTGAACGGTTCAAAGTCTTTAATGCTGTTCTCTCAGTTGCTGGGCTGCCACGCATATTCTGGGGAACCACAAAGTGTTAGCAAGCTCCCAGGCTTCTTGGACCTGCCTGGACATTCAGCATTTCAGCAGGTGCACCGTGCCTGCATGGACCTGGGATATTTTATATTGGCAAAACAGGTGTGCTGTACAGGAGCAAGAGCTGGAGCCCTCATTTACCCACTCACAGGGCATGTCTACATGAGACACTGACTGCGCAGTAGCTGAATAATAGTGTGCAGTAGCATGTCACAGCACCATCAGTGCTAGTACACTACTGCACATTATTATTAGGTAATTGCACTGTAGCATCACTTAAAAGATGTTTGCCAGTGCTACAGTGCAGTTATTCCAGTTACTGCACATTTATTTAGTGCTTGATTATGCAAGTACTGTGCAGTAGTGTCTTGCGTAGAAGTGCCCACAGGTATATCAAGCTGGGCACCTGAAATCACTGGTACTTTGGAAAAATCGTAGATAATCTTATGCTACGCAGCAAATTAATAATCAATGCAGAGAGCTGACACATTTCTAGGCAGGTCTAAGTGATGAAAAGTCATTTGCTGATTGTCTCTCACCTATATAAATAACTGTAAATGGAAAAAAGATTCTGCTTTCATGCATTTTATATCTGAATTCAAACACTTCCATTCCTATTACAGATGGAGAAGCCCCTTCTTTGAAATATTTACCCCCTGCAGCCTATAGCTGACTTCTGGAGTTTACAGGTTATGTGTGAACAATTTTCCTCCTCAATGCTTTTTTCCCCACTCAGTTCATGTAATAAATACATATTATCCCTTGCCTATGCTGCACTGAACACAATTGTAAAACATTCCCCAGGGATCACTGTAGGGGTCTGAACTACAAGGAGGTTTGGGACATTCCCAAACCCACTAAACAGGTGCCACCAGGAAATCCCATGTTTTCATGTGAGGAAAGGTGATGGAATTCCGGTGTACAGTTTTAAAAACTCTCCGAGGAGGGTGAGTCAGAAAACCCACAGACTGTGCCTCCGGTCATCCCCCTTTTTTTTTTCTGCAGGGATGACGGGTCTGTTGCACAGACTTTCCATGTCTGCAGTTGCTCGGATGCTCGTGTTGTGGTTTCTTGGGAGCATTCCTGAAACGTGAACTCGCTGATCCATCCAGATTAGTACAGGAAAGCCGATCCAGAGGCCTAGTATTCCCCCTCGCCTTGGGCAGACAGGGTTCAGCTGGTTTGTGTGTTCAGTTTGAACCCTGGAGAACAGCCCCTGTGATGGCTTCCAGCCTCAACCACTGATGCCATCATAAGATGCTAAATGTAAATTCCCGTGCAAAGACATCATTGCTCTAGGGCTGTCCAGTAATGATCCCAGCAGCTGCTCTGCTGGCTTTGAAGCTGATAGCCCCTAAGCATGAGATGGGGGTGCCAGCATCCCTCTCACTCCCTCATGTGAGTTTTCGTAGTAATTTAATCAAGTTTATTGTACTTCTCTTTAACCCAAATATATGATTTCATGTAGCTTGGAGGGTTTTCCTACTGATTTTTCTGAGGCAATATTTTATATTTATTTAGGGCAGAGTTTTTAAGATTGCTAATCCATGTCTGGTGGATGCCTACCTTTTGGGAGTCAGCACTTAAGATGGCTTAGAAAGAGAAGTTCCACTGGAAGTCAATGATCACCTGGACACCTTTAAAACCCCCATCACAGGCACTCATCTTCTTTTAGCTCCATTTACAATCTTATCATCATATGGTATATATGTGTATACACCCACAGGCAGGCATCTAGTTCCATGCAAGCTGAGAAACCAGTTCAGTCCAAACATACAGTCTGGGGAAAGCAAAAATCTGGCTCTTGGGCACACTTATTATCATATCATTTATAGCACCCTCCATGTCATTTTAACTAAAGTGAAAATGTGGGCCTTAAGTCCCAGTTCTGCTAGCCAATTGTTATACAGGAAAGCATGAGTTTAACTGTAAGAATTTGTCTCAGAGGATGTTAGGTACATGCTTAGGTGTTTTACCAAATGGGGTAAGCACCTGCTTAAATGCCGTGATACACTGGGGCCCTATCTACTATGGTGGAGCCCACGAATTGGCAACCTACAGCACATGGGCTGGACCTGGCCTGCAGTGCCAAGGAGTTTCTTGCAATGGCCTGGCCATGGGGAGAACCAGTGAAGGTGGCAATGCAGCGGGAGTGCTGACCACAGTGGTGGTGGTGGCACAGTATGGAAGCAGCCCGCACTTGGGCCTAAGCTTTGTTAAAGCAGTCGCCTACTCCAAAATGCTGCTGATTGTGACATTGTCACAGTGCTGATTTGTGAAGGGTGTGGGTGTTATGATACTGTCATGGTGCCAACCCATGAAGGGTGTGGGCATTATGGTACCTTCTTCCCTAATGAGATTCTGCTTCCTATCTAAGCTGTTGCCTGCCACAATTCTGATGTATAAAAATAAAGGAGAAGTGATCCTGACAGGAGGTGATACCTTGTTTTGGGAAAAAGGTTTGTCCAGCTAGATTCTCCAATCACCAAAAGAAAGGCCTGCTGGCTTGACCCTTATGGGGTTGGTATTGGGAGCTCCTCTACCTGCAGCATCCAATATCAGCCCTAAATATGATAAGTGGCAGTGAATTTAATTTCCACACTCAGCACGCAGAGGTACTCCCTGTTCTTAAGTGAGCAGCTGGTGAGTCAGCAAGCAGAATGTCTCTTGCTGTAATGCAGGCTGCACGTGCTAGCGTGGGCCTGGCTACCATTCAGGGTCATGCAAGGTTTTACATGTCCTTAAGCCAACTCATATTTGCAGAGCTACAGCCAGCTCCACCCCCTCTATGACATCAGCCATCTAAACCCACAGCCCTGGCCACTTCCTACGTGTGTCCCTGATGCTGCTCAGGCTGGGGCGGTTTCCTGCTACCACCCCACCTACACATACCATTTGTTTGGCACCTTGCAGCTCTTTATCCCAGAGGTGCAGCTAGAGAGTAACTTTCCAAGTATTGAGGTCAGGCAGAGAGTTCCTTCCTAGCCACAGAAGGTGCGGGAAACAGATACAGCCATAAACAAGGAATCAGGAAAGTGGCTTTTGGTTTGGTTATGAATTTTCATTCAGCATTTAAAGAATTGCTTTCATCCAATCATGCATTGTGCTAACGGGCTTAGTGATCCTTTGAACAGCACAACCTGTTTTGGCTGCATTTGTCACACAGGCAAAGCAACTCATCTCGTGAATATACTAGATCTGATTCAGGCAAGACATAAGGATATTGTCAGTGTGCAGATAATCAACGGTAAGGAAGGCAGATGACAATTCCTTCTTTACCATTATGTGGTGTTCTTGAGATTCAAGAAGAAAGTTCTTTTCCTTGCTGCAGAGATAGAAATAAGTGATAGTTTCAGTATAGCCATGGGCACTCATTTGTGTTGGCTGGAGTTTGCATTTGTCATTAGTTTGGAAGCATCACTCCAATTCCTAGAAAAAACAAGACCAAAAAAAATCTGAATTGCGACAACAGGCAGGCTCAGAAGAGCTAAGCCAAGTATTAAAAGGGTAGGATTTTCAACAGCCCTCTGTCTTTTCCTAACTGTGCTCTCATTGCTCTCAATGGGGACTTTACCAGTGAAATGAGGAACATAGGCCAGTGGTTTAGGGGG